TTCGTGTAATAAGTTAGAATTGCTAGGGTGTTAGCAATTTCAGAACTATGTGTATTACCGAATTGAACTAGATGAATTGAAAACTAGAATTAATAAGTATGGGCTTGTTAAACGATAATTGTAATTGATTGTTTGAATCAATTTTTCCGCGCTGTTTATTTACTGGACCGTTGAGGATCATTATTTATGAGGATCACAGTTTACCTAAAAGAACTATCAAACACCCTTTGATATCAGGTAGCCAAGAAATATCTTGGCATTGATCCCAATCAAAGGCGATTATGTCTTATATACCGAAAAGGTTGCACCGATCGCATCGCGATCAAATACCAATATGTGACCAATTACCAAAACATTTATAGAGTTGACATATCAACATAATTTAAACGGGAAATGATTAGAAAAGAAATGGTCCCTAAAACACTAACGTTTGATCTAACACAAATCCCTGAATGTTTAGAACTCGAAAAGTTAAGGTAAACAAAGATCCTAAGTGCCTTATATCTTTTTACATCTTCCTGTATTAACCGCCTCCATAGCAAGAAATATTAACTGCATATTCATAATAGTAAGCATCTAACTCCATCAAAACGTACCTCAAAGTCTATAGTAGACCATCATAAGAACTTCTCGTACTGGCATCCTCCTGAAGTCTGTTATGTACAAGATTAAGTAAACCAAAGCAGGCCACTATTACAGATGCTAGTAGTATGACACTGAATTATGTACGAGTAGCATCACATCTGATTTGTCGCTCTTATAGTGCTCTGGAAATAGGGTATTTCAATCAAGTTATTAACATAAACAATGAGAGGCCTGCACGGAGATTATCTTATCCCAAAAAAGGCAAACCATGGAGCAGTCTAGCAAATTTAATCATCAGAGTCCAAGCATCTACCTAATATCTTATCCCAGTTGTTTTTCCACATCAAGAAGGTATTCATACATGTTTTGTAATGCTTGTATCTGGACCATGAGCATTGAAAAAAGGATGTAACCACATGCAAGCGTAACAGAAAAATATGTACACCATATTAATGGAAAAACGCACATAGATGGGCGATCTTACCTTCATACCTACATTTGCTTCTTCCAACATGTATTCAGGTCGCGCAATTAGAATGAAACCTAAGCTGCAGGGTCAGAACTCTTTAGCATAATGCAATATTGGAAATGCGTAACAGACTAGTAGCACTATAGGCACAATACCTGCAAGGACCTGACTTTGAAAACAAAATCTTCCATTTGGAGATGTTGACCTAGTGAGACAGCCAGAGACATTGAAGTTCCTGCCACCTGAGGTGCGAGTAAGAGAGTTTCCATGGCGAATAAACAAAGCCAAGACACAAAAAAGGGACCGCCCAACAATATGAAATAGACAGAAGTTTTCACCATTTAGCTCCAGGTTAATCCACTGTTGGATTCATCTTGTAAAAATATACAGTTATCTCAAGTTAGACAACATGCTCAAGTGATAATTTTAGAAGCGGTAAAATCAAAATAAAGAATAATATTAGTCTAATTGATCTTCTAAACAAGAGGAAAATGACTGTCACGTGTGTCTACTTAACATCAAAGAAAATTTCCAGTCCAACAAGAATTGGAACGAACCCCAATTTTACAGAATGAAGCAACCAAATTTATACTCACAAATGCAAGCCACAACAGTACAATATACCGACCCACAGAAACTCCACTAGTGAAATCATCTGCATGAAACAAGACTCAAAGAAGGCATTAAATATGATGAAACACACAAAAATTCTGGTGCATGATCTTTTCAAAGCAAACCCACCTTATGGTTATTGGACCCTAGGGGTCCAGTCGCTTAAAAATGAACTGAAGAAGATGCTTAACTATGCTAACACCTTTTCCCGCCGATTTACTCGGAGAACAGAGACACCTGAGAATTTGCAGGGTTGCACTTATCAATTAGAAGGCAGTTTCCTGTAAAAAATATGAGTGGAATTTCTTAACTGCATCTTCCATGAAGACATGTGATCATCCGAAAAACAATGAATGCATGTGAAAGCGAAGACGATGTATAGAGTCAAGATGATGGTGGTTGGGTAAAAGAGGGTACCTGACGCAAGCATGGACAGCAGTAAGAAACGAATGGCGAACAATCATATGCTTTAGATCTTGCTCCAGATCTTCTGCGACACTGAGAAGCAGCTTGCGGTAACAAGTACACAAGGAAGCACTTGCACGTCCTTTTGACTCATCTCTTTTACATGGTAAAATATGTTAATATTGCTTCTTGATCAACCCATCAATGAATAGACATAAAGCATTATTGCATCAATGTTGACCTGTCATATTTTTCCCACAAAGCACTTCCACATCAGCTCGCAGCGCCTACGTATTGATGCAAGCGCAACTTGGTTGATGCCAGTAGCTTTTGCTGCTTGAGGGAAAAAACTAAAGGGCCATGGCACGCTTCATAATTGTTACAAGAAGCTGCTGATACGGGTCCTCCTTAACATACCAACTATTTGCTTTGTATTATTTTCCACTTCCACAGGAATGGAACTAGCATCACTAGAGAATTGTGTATGATGCCCTGGAGGTTCCTCAATCCAGAACTCATAGAAAGTTTTGCACACAAGATCCTGTGGATGAACATATATCTAATATCGATTTGTATTTTAACATAATATTACACAAAAGAATAAGGACAAGATATATCAAAGAGCAAAGCAAAGGGAATACAAAGTTTACCTGAATGGTAGACTCATCATCGGTGATACGAGATAATATCTTAGCACACGCACTAGTAAATTCAGAAAAGTTAAGAGATTTGAAGTACACATGTCACGTATTATCTTAATGGCTTGTTTTCGAACACTCACTCTACTATCCTCTCTTATCGGCCTTCTCAAAGTAGTGCAAAAATAGATTCCTTAGGTCATCAAAGAAACATTTATAGTAGAGAATATGGTATGACAATAATGATACGGGGGGAGGTCAATTAACCTGTAAACCAACATCATGATGTGAGGCAATATACCTAACAACAAATCAGTGTTGCTTCTCTAACATAAGTAGCAGAATCATAAAACCTTCCTTCAACAGCCAACTGAACATGCTTATCCTACAGTAGTACCTCTGGATCAGCTTCAACAATTATTCTAACCAGTTATGGTCATTTATGGTATGTATGATCATCAGTACAACGACATAATTGTATTCAAGTTTTACCCACAAACAGAATTAATTATCTTTCATCATATTTGGATTTTTTATGTTTGCATCTGATTCCAACTTACCAGTACCCTTTGGTGTCTGTCTAGCAGTAAGACTGCAGTACAAGAAGCTGCATCTTGCATATGTAAAATGGATAGTGTCAATTGGGACTTGGAATCTCTAGTTCCCTTAAACCCAAACAGTCAGCATGAAACAATCCATGAAAAATTTGACAGACCAATAACTTCCCAGCCCTTCTACCTAAACAAACGGCGTAATTTTTTTGTGACGTGCAGGTGGAAAGAAACATTAACTTATAATTACAACAAGCACATTTACTCAATATGTTTACCTCAAGAATATGAGACAAATAAATATTCAATAAGGCAAATCCTTCACGGATACGAGTCCAAAAAGGACAACTTGTTTCTGTAGCTGCTTCATGACATTTAGTTAGGTAGCCAACATCAATCGGGGTATCCAGTATGGAGTTTCTACTGGAAGCATGTCTCAAGGTTTCATGAAAGGCTTGTGGTGTTGTGAACAGCCTAAACGAGCCAAGCAGTGACTATTTGAATCCGCCTCTATTCTTCATCAGGGAGAAGATATGCTCTCAACGCTCGTTTCGGAGAAGGTAACTTCCAGGGCAATTGAGATATCTCATCTATCACATATGTTCGGTTTTTAGCATATGAATTACATATCAGCATCAAAAAAGACATTTAAAAATCTTAAAGAATATTAATGACGTGAAGACACTGATCTTTTGAACATAAAACACATCAGATATGTGGAGTAAGTGCGAAGTTTTACACCACCGATTAAGCTAATTACTTTAGGTTGCAGAAGTTGTGGATATTTTCTACCAAAAATGTTGTGGGACTTGTCTTCAACACTTGTAAAATGTAATTGTCTGCTCCAGAGATCCTATAAAACAGAAACGTCAGATCGGAAATGTTTGCAATGAAAATCAGAAAAGAATGCGTATTAATCAGTAAACCTATTCATTGTTGACTTCTTCAGTTTGCCACTTTTTCCAGTGCGCCGCCTTTGCAGGATGAGCCCATGTTCTAATCATCATTGTTATCGCCTAAAAAGGCATGTGGCATATATATGTATGTCAGATATGTGTTATTGAAGCATAACTAATGCAGTAGCTGGAACAAGAATGAAAATATTAAAATCAAATAGTAAAGCATGTCGCAAGGAACAGACGATGCATACTCAGAAAATCAAAGTCAAATTAGATACATAGTTGAACTTAGTAAGAATAAAAACAATATAACCAACCAATCAAACAGTTTACCAAAGGGTAAAGAACACGGTCAAAATTGGATACGCACGAAAATTAGAAAACTGACCTGAAGTATTTGAGACATTACATTAATAATTTTTGCAGTCATCCAAAAGATATTTCATCCAAATTTACAGCAGTATAATAAATATTTCATCGGATATGCCATTCTTAGTAAAAGATATGACGTATGATCCAGTATTTTGGCTAACAAATTGAAGATCGTGCGTGGAGCCCAACTCTTCAGGAAGATGGAAAAAACAGTGTGGGGATCCCCAATACCAACCTACAGTTAAATAAGAGAATACAAGACTAGATATTCAAATTTGCAAAGAAAGAGATATTGACCGCAAAAGAGAATGACATATACTGTGGAAAGAAAACCCAACACTGACAATCTTATACTATCTACTACTTCATATGAGGTAGAGACACGAATAAAGAGTTCAAACAGCATTTACCATTTCTTCGCATAATGTTGAAACATATCTGAAGTTTCTAAATTTGTCTCTTGAAGCTTCAGGAGCTATGAGCTTTGTTCTGCAGTGCTTGATGACTACAAGGACCTGAAGTTGGTAAAATTGCATCAATTTGACAAGGATAGAAAACTAATGTGTAATGTAATAGACTCTCAACAAATGCTTCATTAGCCATTTTATCGGCTAAATGTAACTAATTTTTTTGCTATCACAGCAGAAGCCATATCTACAAAGTTGAAAACAAACAATCTCCGCCTTCTAAATGAACTAGTATAACAGACACCTAAACCAAACATTTCACTCTTAAGCACAATCTAGAGGCTTCAGTAAATAGTCTATGGACCATGAAACAAAGTAGCACAGCCTTCAACCATCCACATAAGAAAAATAACAAGAAACGAACTACAAGGGAGGATTCACAAGCCACCAACCAAGCCTGAGTTGCATCGCTGGGAGAAAAGATCACAGCAATCTGAGAGAAAAAAAAAAGAAGAGATGAGCATAGTTGCAGAAACTCTTGAGTATAGCAATAGAATGCATTAGGTGAAGGGAGAATTCAAACATACCTTCCCGTAGTCAAGCAGTCCTCCTAAAGGTAACTCCAACTCGTCACTACCTACAATTAGTAAGCATCCACTAACAATGGCATCAAGCAGTCTCGCAGAGAATGATGTATCACCACTAGGGAATAGACAAAGCAATGATCTGATAGAAGATACACGTATTTATAAGAAGATCAGAGGAAAAATTTGTACCTGCGGATTCCCTTTTCAACGGCCTTTCCCTTCATCTCCAGCAATTCCCTCTCAACCGAGTTTAGCACGCACTTTCCCTCCCTCCTCAACTCAATGAATAAAACAAAGAATACATTATCGTCATACAACGGGGTAGTATAACTAAGAATGCAAATAATTTTCCTTGGTTAACAAAGTAATCCAACTTACATAGTATCATTGGCCATGTTACCGGCTAAATGTTATCAGTTTTATTGCTATCAAGGTAGAAGCTACATCAAAAAGTTGAAAGACAAACAATCTATGGCTTCTAAATTAACTTGTAAAACAGACACCTAAATCAAACATTTCACTCATGAGCACACCCTAGAGGCTTCAGTATATAGTCCACAGACCATGAAACAAAGTAGCATAGACATCAACCCACAAAAGAAAAAATAACCAGAAACGAACTGCAAAAGGTGAGAAAAAAGTTTTATCCCATTGACTGTGGTTTCTTCGCATAATTAGAAAACCAAAGTCTTCAAAGTAGATTGAAAAGAACAACACTTAATCTTAATTCTACAGTTAACACCCCAAGAAAATCATGACACTTAGGGTAGCCTTACTGCATATCTCAATGTTAGGATGATTTAACTCATGAAAGATATAATGATAACTCTACGAAAGGAATCTCAGTGGAAGACGGAGGAAGATAACAAGATCTTCTAGCACAATGTTATAGCACAACATGAAAGAAACACAAAATTGGATAGTGATAAAATTCCAACAACAATGAAATCATTAAAAAGTGCAGAGTGCTTGCCTTTGAAATGTGCAGGCTGCGCATATCCTGATGTGTGATTCACAAATGACACGAAAGTTTTCCATATTCGGGAATGGTTCCAAATCCTGAAAACATGAACAAATCAAAAGCGATAAATTTCTCGATGATGCCTTGCATTGGTAGGACGAAATGGAATGCAAATTTATTGGTAGAATTAACAACTTAGCTTGTGTAACAATTTTACGAGTTGAGATGACTTAGAACTTGAAACTTTGGAGTCTACTTCAGCATTGGTGCAGTATGTAACTAGCTTGGAAACCAAAGACTAAAAAGCAGCAAATAGAAAAAAGTATTAAAAAAATCAACCAAAATAATAGCATTAACACATACCTGGAGTTGGTCACCTTGTATGTTAACAATTTCTATGGACGGATTGCTTTGGAATAAATCTGGCAAATAGGAAGCTATATTGTCAAAACATGCCGGATTACTGTTAAACTACGAATTAGTAGAGTAATGAAGCTAATAAGGATTAATGAACTGATTATACACTAAGAAGATCAGTATCACATCAAGAGAAGACAAGAAGATCAGAATTACATAAAAGAGGAGACAAAGGCATTAATGACACAAAAGGAACGTTGGGACATACCTAAAATAGAAGAATCACATATTCAGCTCTTGGAGAACGTTAGGAGTAGTCATTATCATCGATTATTGTGTATTTTGACTTTATCTTGCTGCATCTCTATATAACATGTAATCTGCATCAGAATAAACCTAAGGAGAATCTTTCTCTCTTCCCATTCTCTTGTCTTGTCATCCGAATTCTCTACACAAATCTGTTCCTCTCATTCTTAAATCATATTTCCGCATAATTCTTAACATGGTATCAGAGCATAAGCTCCAATATCTTTAGATTCTTCGTGTTCAATCAA